TCAGACAGGAGCCAGGTCTCCCCACCCGAGAGATACGTGTTGACGACCATCCCCTGGAACACGGTCTTTGTTTACTTTCCGAGGCGCACGACTAGTCCAGAATTTCCCCATGGCGTTCCACCCAAGACGAGCCGCATCCTGACGTTTTTTGAGCTCCCAGGTCTCGTGGCCGTCGAAATGGTGCCATGCTCCCAGGTGCCTCAGGCAGATTTTGGGGCCCCCCTCGAAGGTGATGTTCTGTTGTTTGTAGAACTGCTGCATTTTCTGGTGGGATCCACGACCGTAGGCTCGGAAAAGGACCTCTTTTTTATCTCGATTATGTTGCAATCCTGTCGGCTCGCTGACATGTGCAGCAAGTGCCTGATCCCAGTCTTGTGCTCGGGAACTCGCCTGCTCCGCGTCCTCGCTCAGGCCCATGCGGAACATGTCGTCCGCGCACGCCCCGTGGCTGAAGTTGTTCTGCGTCTGAAATATCGGTTCCAGCACATGAAAAAAGTTACGGTCCCCCCCCGACTCAGTTGCGGCTACCCATCTGTCTATGCATGGGTCGAGTACATTGATGAACTTATCTGGAGCAGCCACGTCCCCTTGCAGGTCCCCGCATCCAAGTGACATCAGTGCCCAATCACCTGAGTCCGCTCGTAGAAAACAAAAGGCCCTCGTGTGTCTCTGCAGCAGTAGTTCGGCGCCACCAGGAGGGAGTGCCGCGCGTGCCACAGCATTTAGCGCCTCATGATCCACGGACGCGAAGGCGTTAGCCTGATCATAAAACGGGGCCACCCAGGTACGTTGATGCTGAGCCAAGTGCCATCGAGCAATCTTCACCTGCAGGATGGTCTGCTCGCGCCGCCGTCGGGGTTTGAAGCCTGTGGAGTTGTCGGAGCCATACTCTGTACGCCGAGACCACAATTGGCCTGCGAAGGCTTTGCCGATCGGGTCCAGAAGGTGGGCGACGCGCTCGGCCTTGCACTTATCCTTGTTATTACCTTTCTGCACCCTGCAACCAGAACTAACCGCCCAAATCTGTGGCATGTGTTGCCGTCTTCTGATAATTTAGAGAAGTTGTTGGAGCCGCTGCTGAAATGGACCAAATCGTTCACAATGCTTCGGCTTCGCCACAGCAAGAAGCCATGCCTCTCGAGGCACTGACCATGGTGGTACGGCACGTCGCGCTTTAGCTTTTCGAAGTCTATATAAGATACCATGGTAGTCCTCCTGCGCTCGAACATAAAAAGGTCGGCCATCGATGTTCATGTTCTGCGTGTCGTACTGGATGAGTGCCTGTTCCGCAGCTCGATGGAAAGTATCGGAGGCATCGGTGCGTGTCTCGGTCATATTTGTTGATGAGACACCGCCAGAGACCACCGAGTCTGAAATTCCTGCTGCTACATCTGCAGATCGTAGTCGCCGTTGAAGTTGATCAGCTCGCTGTGCGATGTACTCGGTGCGCTCCGCGGTGTCTGTTGGGATCGCCATCACCTGCTCCAATATGCAGGGTGCTTCTTCGTGACTTCCAATACTAATGGCCCGAGCCTGCAAACCTCCGCTCGGTCCATCCAGGCCCATATGCTGTATCCACTCATCAATGGTGGGGGGGGAATGTCGCCGCCAATTGAAATCGTCTCTTCTTGGGCCCCAATCGCGCGCCGGCTATCAGACGCGAAAGAACCCAAACTTGATGCCAATCATTTTGTTGATGGGCACGTTCCAGCTCCATAGACCAGGTGTCTCGCATACGTCGAAAGTCGCGCCGTCGAAATCTGCGAAGGTATTTCTGAAATAACATACATGTGTCCCTCATCTCTCGGGTAACGTGATCAGCTGCTTGAAGTCGTGCACGAGCATCTTTGTATTTCTCGCGTAGGCGGGCAGTACTGGTGTCCTCACCTCTTCGAGTCTGCCCAGGGTGCCGGGTGAAATAGATCTCAGCCTGCTCTCGAAGGCCAGCTTGAAGAAAGTTACAATAACCATCTACATCAAGTGAATCTTGCAGAGAACGAATCTTTGTCATAGTATCTGGGTGGACGGCCCATGCGTCCAGATCCCGAATGAAGCCATCATATAGGGGTCCACCTTTCAGCCAGGCCTGCATATATCTGTCATAGCCCCATGTACAATTTGAGTCCGACTTCGGTTCGTGCCAAGAACGGGTCATGAAATCCATCGCCAAGGGAGCGTGGTGTGCTTACCTTTCGCATGGGAGAGTTGTAAATGTCGTCCAGGTCGTCGCCAAACACGTAACGTCTGAAGTTGGGCCAGCATTGCTTTCGGAATAGCGACGTAGTCGATCCGTGACGTGGTTGACCCGCTGAAATACGTGGCCCCATATCCCTCCCTAAAGTACGTGTTTGCCAGACACATATGGTGCGTGTTCAGCATCATGCGCCAGTGCGGTGTGTGCGGATCCTCCTTGGCAGCCCCACGAGGGCCGATCGCATCCTGCTGGCTCGTGTTGTGCATGTGTATCCATTGCCCACCCACATTCTGAAGCCCGCAATGAAAGTTACCATCCATCATCAATATCGGGGTACATCTGGCTGGAAGCTGAGAGAGAACTTTACTATTCCAGTCTATTAGAGCGTGACAGTGCTTTCGATCTGCTTCCGACTTTGGCAACAGCATACCATAGGCGGTAATGAAACAAAAATCGTAGTGGCCCGACCATCGGTATCGAACGGCTCCCCCTCGTCCCTGGATCTGGTCGGGTGGGCGCCGGGCCTGCAGGAATCTTTGCTTTCGAAACTTCTTAGCATCGAGGGCCAACATGCATCCAGTGCTCGTGTTCGTCCCGTCAGTGTTCTTGCTCCTCTCCTGCTTACGAAGTTCTCTCGTAGCCGACGTGGGCCACTGCCAGACGACGTGCTTGCCCACTCGGGGCGATGGAACCTTCAACGTGCCGTCAAATGATGCCCGAGCCATCGCCTGCCCTGTTCCAGTAAGACTTATCACATGACAGGCGTCTAAACCATCTAAAACCTCTCGTAGCCCCCGATGCACAGGTAGCGCTTGAGGATTGTATTGGGCGACGCGTAGACGGGTGGCCTGGGGCGGGGCCGAGGGCTGCGCTGATGTCATCAGAGTCGGTCCCAAGAAGATGTACGCGAGAAAGGCAACCATCAACGTGAGAACCCGCGTTCCTCGTGGATGAGTGAGAGAGCAAGATGCCAGAATGAAAGGAGAGGCTTGCACCAGTATGGCATCTAGGAGGCGGAGGGGGAGGGGGAGGAGGAGGAGGATGAGCAGGAGGAGCAGGAGGAGGAGGAGGCGGAGAGGAGGAGGAGGCGGGGAGGAGGACGAGGAGGAGCAAGCAGGAGAAGGAAGGGGGACGAGGAAGAAGAAAGAGGAGGGGGAGTAGGAAGGAAAGGAGGAGGAGGAGGAGGCGGGAGGAGGAGGATGAGGAAACGGAGACGGAGGAGGAGGATGAAGGAGGAAGAGGAGGATGAGGAGGAGGAGGAAGGAAGAGGAGGAGGATGAGGAGGAGGAGGAGGAGGATGGGGATGAATGAGGAGGAGGAGGGGGAGGAGCAGCAGGAGAGGCGAGGAGGACGAGGGGAAGGAAGGAGTGAGGAGGAGGAGGAGAAAGAGGCGGAGACTGGAGAGGGAGGAAGAGGAGGAGGAGGAGGAAGGAGGAGGAGGAGGAGGAGGAGAAGGATGGGGAGGAGGATGAGGAGGAGGAGGAGGAGGAGGAGGAGGAGAAGGAGGAGGAAGGAGGAGGAGGATGATGATGAGGAGGAGGAGAAGGAGGAGGAGGATATGAAATATGCAATACAAAGGGGGCGCAGTGTCCCTCCAACCACCCTGCGAGCTCTCAGGAGGTCCCTCGTTGGAGCCCTCGACCGAGCTCTCAGGAGGTCCCTCGTTGGAGCCCTCGACAGGAGCCGCTCCTACTCCTGACTGCAGAATCAGGGAGGCATCCTTGGCCCCCTTTGGCAAGCCCGCGTAGCTCGGGACCTTGCCCTGCTTGATTCGTGTGAGATTATGACGCCCCCTCTTGGTGGGGCTGTGACGCGGCTCGGCCAGCCCAACCAGCTTGAGGGTGGCCGTCGAGCCGCGCGCATTGCAAACATAAAGCCTGTGTTCTTGCCACAGGTACAGCTCATGAGACTGGTGGACCTCTTGGTTCCCAAGGATCGAGTACGAATTACTCTTCACAATGCTGCTCGGGACGCCCACCCCCCCGCCAACCCTAGGCGCAGGGGCGGGTGTGCACGAAGACTCGGCCGCTTCCTCGACCCTGGGCCCAGGAACCAGAAGACGGCAAGCAGAGCACAGCCAGCAACCACCTTGGACGGGGGTCCAGGCATGCTGACTGGCCGCCAAGGCTCGGGTGAGCTTTGGCTGAGGAGCGGTCCGGATCTTCGGGTGCCTCTTAGCCTCCCAGGCGTCAACTTCGAGCGTGTCAATCAGGGCCCTCCTTGCACCAGTCCTAACCTGCGCAGCAATGGTGTCCCAGACATCCGTGTGCGGGGCGACGCCGATGAGGCCCCGAGAGAGGGCCTCTTGGGCCGTAACGCCCGCCAGGACATCGGCACAGGCGTTTCCAGCAGCACGGGAGATCACACTAGGCGAAACCAACAGGTGGGCCTGCTCGTCCATGTGGGACGGGATCCACACAGCAGGAATCTCGGCGGCTCCCTGGGGTCCTCTGGAGGCAATACTTCGCTTCGCACGAGCCCAGAGGTCCCCATTCACCCCAAGAAGAGAGGTCTGCCTCCCCGAGAACCACCCAATATGCAAAGCACGATTGTCAGTGTAAAAGATCAAGGGGGCCTTCTGTCGCCTCGACGGCAAGGGCGAAGGCCAAAAGCTCCGCGCGCGGAACGGTCTGGCGCGCTGGCAGCCCGCCCAGCACGCCTCCCTCGAGGCGCCAAGCGGCCGCCTCCTCGTCAAATGAGGCGGAGCAAAAAGCGGCTCCGCAGCGGCGGCGGCGGGGGTCCGCAGTGTGCCCCCCCCCACTGCCGTCTCCCAAAAAATGAAGCACTCCATCAGCTCCACGGGCACCTCGGAAGTCGCCAACCTCGAAGGGCCATTCCGCGAGGTCCTCGTCGCACAGCGGCGTCGTGGGGTGCAGCGCGGGGAGGCCACGAAGCCACAGCGACGGCTGGCTCTCATGCTGGACGCTGGCCTGCCCCGCAAGGTGGTGGTTGGTGGAGTCGTGCTCCTTGCGCCCCCGATTCGCAAGGCACGACCAAATTCGGCGATGCAGGGTCTCGTCCTCGTGGCCGCAGCGGCGGCAAGTGACAGACTCCAGCTCGTAGCCCGCCTCTCTCTGCCTGACCCGCGGCCATTGGCCACCTGAAATGACCACGATGTTCTGCGCGTACATGTCCATCTGGCCTCTGGAGAGGTAGTGCTGCTGCTCGCGGGCGATGAGGGTGGCATCAGCGCCCTCGCACAAGTCGTCACCGTGCAAGTGCTTGCTGGCCACGCTCCACATCGCCCGCGTGAGGTCCACCACGAACCCGTCCTGCACCGCCGACGTGTCCATGTCCAGATCCTCGTGGCCAGGAAGGCGCCGTTCCACACCACTGGCCGTCGTCCACGAGCGAGCCGTAGTAGGCGACCAGCCCGCGTCCAGCAGCATCGCCATGAGCGCGGCCATGGGGCCGCGCACAGCTCGCCACCTCCGCTTGGGCCCTGCACTCACCAGCTTGGCCAAGACGCTGCGCCACGCGCACCCGATGCGACTGCGGAGCTGCGGGGCCCGCCTCCAGAGGTCGAGCCATTCGCCCAGGAGCTGGCGCCTGAGCTCCAGGCCAGGCTCCTTGTCGCCGTGGAGCGTGGCGAAGATGCTCGTGGGGCGCCACCCAGGCCCCTTGCCCGCTGCCGACAGTGCAGCGCCCCGCCTCAGCCTGGGGATGGCCGAGGGCGCAAGGCCAAAGGCCTGGTGGCCGTACGTCGACCTCGGCAGCGCCGCAGTGGGCCACAGCGCCTTGGTCACCCGGGAGAGCTGGGCATGGCGCCGCGTCCTGAAGATGCGGCGGAACTGGCACTGCCCCGCCTTCCTCCTGGTCAGCGCCCTGCGCTGCGTGCGCACTCGCCCCGCGGCGGTGTCCACGCCGAGGCCAACTGCATGGTTGGTAGCCGCACAGGGGACGCCTCTACGCGCCAGCGCGCGGTGGAGGTCCTTGGCCAGCTGCGGGTGGCTGGCGATGCCAACGGTCTTGCCGGGGACCTGCAGGTGCTGCTCGTCAAGGCCAGCCTTGAGGGACTCGGCCACGCCGAGGATGGTGGAGCGAACGTGCTCAAGCTTGCCCTCAGCCCTCGCCACTGTGTCGTCGACGAAGGTCCACAGCTGTGCATGCCCCCACTCAAGGTGGGCAGCCCGCAGTATGGGCGCCAAGAACAGCTTCGCACACTTGTTGCCGTGAGAGCTGCCCGCCACCACCGAGCGCTGCGGCGCGAGGCGAGGCCCCAGCCACCGTTGCTGGCGGAGGTGCGTCGGGGCCACGAAGAGCTGTGCCTCCAGGGCCAGCGCCGCCGCAGGGAAGCGCAGGCGGAGCCCCGCTTGGAGCAGCCGAGAGAACCCAATGCTGTCGTAGCATTTCTGGGTGTCCAGCAGCAAGGCCGCCGCGTGGAACCCCATCGACAGCGACGTCTCGTCCATCAAAGCACGGACGATGGCCGCCCTGAGGGCAGAGCTGCCCTTGATGGCGGTATCCCACCATTGGTCCTGGGAGGCCTCCCACTCGTCCGAGACGGTGGACCTCGCCTTGGACCAAATCTTGGCCGTCGTCGCCAACATGCCAATGACTCGGTCCCCCCGGCAGGCTTCGGCACCGCAGCACCGATCGTAGTGGTGAGCTGCCATGGCCAGAGAGCCCGCTGTTCGATTAAGTTGAGCAGGTCGACCAGCTGCTGCCGTGCCGACGGGGGGCAGCGAGCAATATCCAACGCCGTGATGTTGTCGATGCCCTTCGCCTTCTTGGACGACGCCCGCGTAAGCACCACATCCAGCCTCTCCAAGGTGATGGGCTCCATGTGGGCCCTCAGCAGCTCGCGCACGGAGGTCACCCAAATCCTGTAGGACCTGGCTCTCGTCAAACTCAGGGTCCGACCACACCTTTTCCCAAACTTCAGTCTTTACACGCATGATGCTGCACGGGTCGGCAGCGGCAGTGCCCCGCAGAAGCACCTCAGTCTGCTGTGCCTGCGGCTCGCGCACATGCCTATATATGACCCCCGCCTTGGGCTTCCAGGACTCCTTTGCCCACTCGATGAAGCCGCGGCGTGCCTTGGCATGGGATCTGCCCAAGGCTCTGCACGCCCAACGCTCGGAAACCTCAATGAATGGTTCAAGTGCACCGATGAGGTCGGAGGATGACATGAGCTCGAAGTCATCTCCAATGGACTCAAGGAGAGCATCCTTCGCATGCCTCCACTCATCCAACTCAACACTGAGAGCATTGCCGACATACTTGGCGCGGTGGCCCTCGTCCGCGATGGTATCGCACCGCTGCTCGAAGTCGCCCAAAGCGTAGTCCAACTGGTCGCTGTCCGTGTTGTTCGCCACCAGGGCGCGGGCCCGAATGGCCAAGGCCGTCGGGGTGCTCCACAGCTCGACGCCGGCGTCCACCGAGTGGGCCCTCCCTGGAGTGGTATTCGCCTTGACCCGCCTGATGGAATGCCCATGCGCCCGACCTCGACGCGCCCTGGCCTGATCAGGGAGGGGCCGCTCGACAGCAATGTGGGCCTCCTCAAGCTGGGAGGTCCAATTGCCATGCGCGAGGCTGACCTCCTGGACGTCGTCAGGACGACTGGCATTGATGAAGTACTCCATCTGACCAGCTCGCGGGATAGGATCTCCCAATGCAGGGCGACAGCTGGGCCAAACGTCCTCCGTGATGAAGAACGGCTTCGCATCCTCCGGGTGCTGGTCCTCGCCCTGCTCGCGGATCTCGAGGGGCGTCTCCTGGAGCTGCTGCGGCAAAGCGCGGGCCCGCGACTGCAGGGCCTCCGCCTTGCGCCTCGAGGACTTGCTCTCTGGGTCTGGCTCCTTGGGCGGCCTCTCTCGGACTGGGGGGCTGCGGGCAACGACGAGCTCGTCGTGATGCCATCGGCGGTCGGAGCCCTCGATGATGACCTCGATCGCGCAGTGGGTCTTCCACGGGACGTCGAAAATGGCCTGCAGGCGGAGCCGATGATGCCACCCTTGCTTAGCCACTGCGTAGTCGTACATGCGGCCCTGACCCTTGTCACAGGTCGTCCTTACATTCGATGGGGTGACCACCGCGCCGCCAATCTTGCCAAGCCACTCGCTCTTGTCCCACTCAGGGGGCTCGAGGTTCCAGTCCGGGAGGAGGACCCGCGGGTCGGAAATGGTGGACACGTAGCTGCCCGCCGCCGGGACTGCAGGAGCCGAGTGCGGTTGATGCCGCCAGACTTGAGTCCTGGCTGCAGGTACATCGCCACCAAGACAACATTGCCCTCCTTCAGGTGGAGGACCACAGGACAGAAACCGACGAAGATCTCCTTCACCGTGGCTAGGAGATGGCGACGTCGATGGCGCTCGTACGTCGTCGCCGCCAAGGTCTTGTCGAGGCACCACATCTCCCCTCCAGAAGTGCCCGACTTGGCCTTCCCAGAGGGCGTGGCCGGCGTGCCGGCCACCCTCCAGCCATCCTTGCCCAGGGCCACTCGGGTGGCCGTCAGCTGCGCCGCCGTGGCGTGGGTCTCCACGCAAGCGATGGCCTTGTACTTGCGTTTGCCCCTCTCTGCGAGGAACTTGGCAGCCTGGGGGCCGTGCTCAGCGATGTTGGCAAACAGGATGGGCGCCTGCTTGCCCTCCGTTCTCTGTCGACGCCTCTCCTCAGGAGTACGTCGCTGTGGTCGGCGCGCCCCCGCGAGCAATGGCCGCTGGGAGCTCGCTGCACCAGTGGCTGACGTTGGCCTCCACGCGGAAGGCTCATCCATGTACTCGTCGTGCGCGTGGGGCCCCTCGTCCAGGTCCGCGAAGACGTCGGCCCCCCCCTGGTCCATGTGGCGGCATAGGCTGGCAGGGGCAGGGGCCCGACCCGTCGCTGAAGGCATCGGCCACCCGCCCGTCGGCGGCTTCGGCGAAGGGGATCGCATGGAGTGAGGACTCGGCCACCCGCGCGGCCGCGGCACACTCTCGATGCGTCTAGCCCCGCTCTCTCCTGCCATTATGCCCAGCCTCCGCTGCTCCATGTCGACGTACCGCGAGGCCCAGGCCGACGTGTAGTCGGGCAGGTGGAAGCTCTGCGGCACGGAGTCGCTTAAGCTGGCCCCCAGCAGGCCCTGCACCAGCAGGAGGGGCAGCTGCGGGGACCCCGCCAGCAGCGGCAGTCGCCACCTTGGCCTTCGCGGCAGCAACGGCCTTGGCCGTGCGGCAGGCCATGGATGCGGCCTCGCCAATCTGCTTGGCGCTGCGCTCCTGCTCCGCTGCCTCCTTGTCAGCGCGGGCCTTGGCTGCTGCCTCGGCCGCGCTCTCTGGGGCCTGGGCGTCTGTGGCCGTCGTCGCCTCGGAAGCCGCATGGGCCTCCTGGCGCGGCGGCGGGCCAGGCGCTGGGGAGGCGGGGTCCTCCTGCACCCGCCGGCGCTTCTTCTGGGCCTCACGGAACTCCTTGACCCTCTGCTGCTGCGTGCGGCAGTTGGCCTCGAAGTTGGCCCTCGCCTCCTCCATGATGGTCTTACCCTCCGTGCAGAGCTTGCGGAGCTCCTCCTGGGCCTGCTCCTCCAAGTCCTCCCAGTCCTCGAAACTCTCGGCGTCGAAGTTGAAGGTGACCTGGCGAGACGGGTCGACGGCCGCGGCCGCAGCGCCCGTCTCCTTGGCCCCGAGAACGAGGAGGTCGGTCTCCTCGCGCTGGGCGGAATCGAAGTTCGCAGCGCACTGGTCACACCACTCCGTCGCCTCCGCCAGCTTGTCCCCTGCC